CTATTTTGACCCACACTTCCTGAAAGGACAATCTTTCCCTTTTCCAAGGGACATCGCGACGTGGTGTAATGGTTAGCCATGTTGTCTCGCTAGAACAATTACGACTGAATTATGAGTTCGATCTTCACTGGGTTCAGCATAGTTTCGGCCTTGTGCCACGACTAAGCTGTGTTTACAAAAATAATTAGACTTTATGAACACTTCATTAATTATACATCATGGAGTGTGTTTTTTTTTTTGGGGGGGGGTGTCCCTTGTGACAATGTGGTATTGTGGTACATGTAGGATTGGGAGATAGACAAGTTCTTGTGGTGATTGAGCATATTATATTGAATGAATTGGTCGTGATTGCGATTTAACTAAGATAGTAAAGACCAGCCTTTTTCTCACTTCCCCTTCGGCCTTGACACAATTTTGTAATTTTTTTACAAAATAAATATCTGATCTTTTGCCTTTTCAACGCGATCGTTCGGACATGTTTTCAGACAGTCCTACCCATGAAGTAGATTCGGTAATTCCAACAGCGTAAGGCTGACCTGAAATTGGCCATCTTTAACCGTTCTTGTCCTTCGACATCCTCAAGACATGGAAATCTTTCAATACAGTCGGCATAAAGAAAATAAACATCCGTAGCAGAAAGGTTTTTTTTTTTTTTTTTTTTTTTAATGCTTTTATCTTTAGGTATGGAACATTCACTCTCACCTAAAATACAAAAACAAACCCACAAACTTAACATCCACAGGTGCAGTTGTTAACGAACTGGGGTTAAGGACATAATGACCGTTTAAGGCGTCCGCTTCAGACCAGATGCGTCCATAAATTTTGGCCTTGTCCATAAGCATTGTAATTATTCATGTATGTGTGACCCTAAATTGGAGATAAGAAATCCTGGGGGATTACTCTTGTATAATACGCATTAACTTTTTAGAATTTGTAGCAGCTAAAAGTGAACATTGTTCAACAAAATGGGTTTGTCACTTTTAAAAAAATAAAAAAATGCAGTTTTTTTTTTTTTTTTTTTTTTTTCGCTTAGTTTACAGTAAGCGCATGGGCATTATCACACGGTTTCGGTGAGTTTGCTGCGAAAATGTAAGCTCAAATTACTCGTTTAATAATTATAAACACATACTCCAGAAGATACATATTTTCTTACATATTATCTATCGTGGCAAAGCCCTAAAAGTATTGCATCTTGAATTCGCTCGACAGCCATGATGATTTTTTTTTTTTTTTTTTTTTTTTGTTTGAGACAATGATTACTGTTAACTCCGTGGAATGACAAAGATGTTTATTACGCTCACCAGATGGCGTCTATCTTTCACGCAGCAGCAAAGCAAACTAACATAGGCCTTACATCTGTATAAATATTAAAAATGAAGTATTGGTTCCGGTTTTAAACTTTATTATAGATTAGTTTGGCCACAGAAATTTTACTTTCATCATACCGTCTCAATTATGGCGACACACTCGCCCGGTTAAAAAAAAAAATTGTAGTTTTCGTGTATAATACGTAGTCTAACTTTCAGGATTGAAATTTAAAAAAAAAGAAAAAACGTCTTTTAAGTGAAAAGAATAAGGGTATTGGTTGATGTAATAGAACATTGAAAAAAAAAAAAAAAGATATGCCTTTTTGTTATTTTTCCTTCCATAGATTTCTTTAAAAAATTATTTTTCGTTCTATTAAATATGTGGACTTAACCCCTCCCCGCCAATTATTTTTAGAAAAACGTTTTTCAGACGAATTTTTAAAAAATTTTTAATATAGTAACAAAGAAACTGGGGGGTTCCTTGAAGTACCCGAGCGGTTGTAACACGTCTACCAGACGTATGAGTTGACACTTGGACTCGTTTCAAACTCAGATGTGAATAAAAAGATGGAAGATCGACTTATAAACAAGTCTGCTGCTGGTTGTTTTGTTTGACGTGTTTATTCGTCCGTGCCAGAAATGGACACTTTCGGTAAAAAGGGGCTAAAAACCGAACCGAATATAGTTAGGATTTTTTGCACGGGATAACGGGGGAAAATGCCTAACCATACTACCAATAAAGAATACCTAAAAACAAAAACAAAAACGCCTTGCTGTAAACAAGTCCCTAACCTATATTTTAACAGCATTAGTAAGACCGATTTGCATCTATCCACGCTGATATACAAACAAATTTAGTTGAACTGACAGGACAGTAGAAATTTCATTACTAAGAAGTAAGAAGTAATTTATTCTATAAAACGAAGAAATTTAATCTATTTTCCTCAATTTTAATTAGAAGAAAATGTGCCCACCGACAGAATTCGAACTTGCGTCCCTTCTACTCAAATAAGTGTATCCAGTAAAATTAACGCTTGACGCAATCAAAATATGTCAGATGGGGGAAAAAAATTATTGATTCTGAGAAATTCATTCGTTTACGTTTTGGATACGAAACTGGGTAGAGAGGCCTTTCGAGAAAATGTGACTTAAAGGCGACTTGAACACTACTCGATTTTAAAGCTCTTCGTCGCAGAGCGGTTAAGGCACTCCTGAACAGAGGTGGGTTTTCCTGCAATGGGGACACAGGTTCAATTCCTGCTGGAGGGCACATTTAGTAAGTTTTCTCGTGTGTGCAGGCCGGTAGACGAAATAAATATTGTTTAAAATAAACAAAAACGGAGCGTTCACTCAAATATGAGTATCCACTTAAAAAAAACATCTGAATTTTTATTATTTTATATATATATATATATATATATATATATATATATATAGGATTGGTGTATACGGAATAAATTCCAATAACCAAAAATACTATTCTTAAAAGAGTGCTCAATACGGAGTAGAGCAAATATAATTTATTCGAAAATTATAACATGAATGTTATTAAATCTTTATATCTTATTTATATATATGGAGAGTGGGGACATTCTTGACAACATCCAAAGAATCTTCAACGTTATTGGTTCTGATCTGGCATCTCGGCTTCAGTCAATTTTCTGCCGTAATGTAGCTTTCCTGTGCCTTTTCTATAAATATTCTCACAGTAATTCTTATTAGCTTCCCTCTTTGGTGTGTTGACTTCTTCGCAGTACTAGATTGGCAGGTTGGTCTCATCATTTCATTTTTGAAATTGCTTGATGGAACCGTAAGTTTCATGCTAATATTCTTTTACACTTCTCCCTTGTGGAATTCTTTTCCATCTTTCTGCTTCCCTGTTAACTACAATGTTCGATACTTTAAATTTAACGTCAATGATTACAACTTCTGTTTTCATGAAACAGGTTCTTTTTATTATCTTTGTTTGTTTCTCTCCCCGTCACCCCCGTGCATCTTAGTGGTTATATCTCCTTTCTTGGGGCGAAATGATTCGAAAAAAAAAAAAAGAAAAGAAAAAAGAAAATAGCTACAAAAGACAGGCAGTCGTTGAAATCCATGTTCATCAACATATTTAAGATAAATAGCACATACAAGTACACAATTCCGGAAAATCCTTGTTGAAAACACAATTATACTTAAACATGAAAACAAAAAAACAAAAAATAAAATTCTTGAAGCTATATACATAAAACAGTTGAAACCTAACCTGAACAAAATAAACTACGAAATCTTCACAAATATTCTTAAATGCCTATAATTGATAACAGAAGCCAACGGCTTCCTATACTTAATTCTTTTCGTTTTCACTCTCGCGTGGTCATGTGTGACGTCACGAGCTGCGACGCGATTTTCACTTCCGTGTCTCGTATACACATGTTTGTCATTGCTTGAAATTTTTTATGCAACAAAAACAGACTGTCATTATTTTTTCGTTCGTGTATTGTTTGATATATTGAAATGTAACTGTCATCTTTGATAATGGCTTATGTAAGCCGAAAGCTTAGATTGGATTTAAACATGTATCAATATGGTGATTTCCTTTCGTCTTTCAACGATAATGTTATTAAGCTTATCAGACAATATAAAGGAACTTTAATATAAATAGAAAAACTTGCTTATATTATTTAATGAAACATGCATCAATGAAAAATTGCTGCCGAAATATACACAAATATATATATATATATATATATATATATATATATATATATATATATATATATATATTTTATTTTATGTCTGTTCGATTCTGGTTAACAAAAGCAATATTTAGTGCATTTTAGTTTGTCGCTGGATTTTAACAGTAATCCAATCCCCCACTAAGTTTTTATCATATTTTCTATTAGCAAGCAAAATATTTCTGGTTGTCGGGAAAATGTTGAATATTCAGCCAAGTTTGCAATTTTCTCATTTAAATTTGTTTATAGCAAGTTTCGTTATTTGGTTTGTATGTCGCATATTTCAAATTAAAGGGAAAGAGAGAGAGAGAAAAAGAAAGACAGAAAGCGAGATAGAGAGACAGAATGAGAGAGGGAAAGATAACGACAGATAGAGAGCGAGATACCTAGAGAGAGACAGAGAAAGGGAGATAAAGAGAGATAGAGAAAGTGAGATAGACAGACGGAAAGAGAGACAGAAAGAGATACAGGCAGCGAGAGAACGAGAGAGCTAGAGAGAGACAGAGAAAGTGAGATAGAGACAGCGAGAGATAGAGAAAGAGAGATAGAGAGACAGAGACAGTGAGAGATAGATAAAGGGATATATATATATAGAGAGAGAGAGCGAGAGAAGGCGAGAGATAAAGATAGCTGGAGAGAGGGACAGAGAAAGAGAGATAGAGAGAGAGAGAAAAGGTAAGTTAGAGAGAGTGAGAGATATTGTTTTTTATGCCTTATCAACCCTTTTTATGTTATTTAAGACAAGAAAATATTTTTGATAGATAATGATTTTTACATTGTAAGAATTTTTTGGAGATAATAATGATTTAGTTATACAAGATCTACTAATTAATCCATAACTGGGGAGAGATTTCACAAGGATATTTGAACGTAATTGTACGTAACGAACCCAACTGGAATTGGAACTGGGCTCTCTGATTAATAATTAACAATTCCAAGACATTATCTATTATACCACACCGTACATCCACGTTTACAGTACCTGGTATTCCCAAGCGGCCACCCTTCTAGGTACTGCCTAGCCACGACGTTGCTTAACTTCAGTGATCGTGTGGCAACCGGTGTTTTAACGTGATATGACCGTAAACCAAAGTGAGAGAAAGGGGCGGGAAGGGGGAGAGAGGGAGATAGAAAGAGGAGAGAGGGAAGGAGAGAGAGAGAGGAGAGAGAGAGTGGGTCAGAGAAAGAGAGAGAGAGGGAGGGAGGGAGGGAGGGGCAGGGAGAGCGAGAGAGCGAGACCAAAAATCGAGCCTAGAATTAGAGTTATCAAAATCAAGCTTGTATAGAAATTTAACTTTGAAGCGTTATAATAAAGAAAAATTGTGAAAGAGTATTTGTGAGGGAGGGAGAAAGAGAGAGAGAGAGAGAGAGAGAGAGAGAGCGAGAGAGAGAGCGAAGGAGAGAGAGGGCGAAGGAGAGAGAAAAGGGATTATCAGTGATCAAGATCAAACTATATTGTATTGATATATTAAATATAAATGCCGTCTAATGAATTAAAAACATTGATTCGTTTTTACGGAATTTGCTTTTTTTTTAAGAATTTTTGGGATATAATAATGACTTACTGATACAAGTCCTATTAATTAAACTACAACGAGGAGAGAGGAGAGTTGGATTCATGCCTTTTCCAAGGGTAGTTGTGCGTATATAACGAACCCAACTGGAATTAGAACTTAGCTCTTAGATTAACAATTCCGAGCCGTTATCCATTTCAACACCTGCGCATACAAGCTTACAACACCCGGTATTCCCAAGCAGTCACTCATCTAGATATTGATCAGGCTGAATGTTGCTTAACTTTTGTGATCGTACGAGAACCGGTATTACAACGTGATACCGCCGCAAGGCAAACAATAAGTAAGTTCAATATTTCTAAACAGATGAGACATCATTGTCTATGCAATCTTTTCATAATCTCCTTTTCATGGTACATACATAGGCGTGTGCATCTGTGCGTGTATCTGTATATATTTTACTAAGTCCCGTGCCTCTTCATGACGTGGGCGATCATGAACCACAACTTCCTATCCTTTAGTAAGTTTTACCTCACTTCCAATCCCTGTTCTGCCATCCATTTACATAAATTCTCGAGGCAAGTAACTCACTGTTCCTCTTGCTGACAATATTGTGAGTATCGGTTTTTCCAGGCACTCTTTCCTCATTATGGCCTGGAAATTTCAATTGTTACTTTCTGTTTCTATGTATAAGCGTCATTTTGTTTCAATTATGCTTAAAACTTTCTCGTTACTCACATGTTCAGCCAATGGAATACTCAGCAGCCTCCTCGACCGCAGTTCGTGACAAAAATAACAACCGTACACTCGCTTTGAGTATAATGAACCTGGCTGGAAACTTTTGTGATGTCAACGAATGGTCGTTGACACTTTCGTAATACTCCTTGTAGTAGAGACTTTGTAATCGCACATATAACTATAGTAACGCTGTTGAACAATGCTGGTATCAGATGCCTTCGAATACCACTCGCACAAATAGTACTTACTCTGTAATACTCGCTCGAATAGTAATCCGTATAGTGATCTGAATAGAGAAATAGTATAGTGAATAGAGTAGAGAATAGCGATCCATATAGGAATAGAGGATAGAATAGAAATAACGATCCGTATAATAATAGAGGATAGACTAGACTATTTACATTATTCGGACTATTGTCCTCATCTTTGTCGCCATATTTATTACAACGTTTCGGCCATTGTACGCTCCGGCTTTCTTTAGGTGGTTGGAATGCCGAACTGAACCCTTTACTTCGTTCACTGTGGTAGACTGTTCTAGTTCCACGTGCCATGTTTCAATGGATGTCAGTTATCAGTTATCTCCTGTTAATTCCCCTCTCCAAGTTCTCTACTGCTTTATCCGGGTATTGAATTCACAGACTTTGGGTCCTGTCACAGGATCTAACCAACGCTTTATCCTCAAAGACACATGGCACAGTGGATAAAGGCGTTGGTTAGATCCAGTGACAGGACTCATCTACCTCATCTCAGAAATATAGACAGATACTGAAGGATAGACTAGATGGGGAGGTCAATTAGACGCTACATTCCATATATGCTTTTCTTCTATAGTCACGTGGTCTACTTAATTCAATAATGGGATCGACTGTGTTTGTTCACTGGCGATCTAGGTTCAAACTCAAGTGTCGGCAGCGATACTTTATTCCTATATAACAGAATTAAAAGTCGGCACCCCGATTTAAATTAGCAAGTCGATATCCTTTATACAATCAATACATGCAAGCTTACAGCATCTAATATTCACAAGCGGTTACCCATTTAGGTATTGACCGGGTTCGACGTTGTTTAAATTCAGTGATAGTAAGCCTGTATATATTAAAAGTTTGCGAATTGATTTTTGTATGGAAATTACGCCTTGGATGTGACGATAAACTACATCCGGCAGCAAGGCCTCTGATCAGGAGATTTTGAGGAATGTGGAACCACCTCTTAATGACTGTAGGGTCCCAGCTATGGGTAAATGGTTAACCCCCAAACTATGGTCAAAACATTATGAAAATATAAAAAATATCATATTAAAAATTACAAGCAATACATTTTTGAAAAAAATTACCAGCAATTTATTTTTGTAAAAGAAATTACTAATGTACCCAAGAAAATTAAATTTCGCCATTAAATGGCCCATAAGGAGTTGATGTGCCGTTAAACAAATAATAATAGTTGTGGTAATTTAAAATCAGAAAATAAGTTATTCGTCCTACATTAACGTGGAAGACGGAAATATGCATTGTTAATTTTTTATGATTATTGCAGAAAATAAAAATAGTTTTACTAAGATGTAGATCTTAAATTATTGTAGAAATAAGGTATAAATAACGAAGGTTTCTTTCGTCAAGCGTTTATGCAAACAATCTTGACAGAACAGATTTCTCCCTTTCATATGTGTGTGCACGTGGGTCTGTGTGTATGTCTGTGTGTATGTATATATATATATATATATATATATATATATATATATATATATATATATATATATAAAAAAAAAAAATAATCACGCATAGAATCAATCAGCAATATTAATGCTACTATTGGCGACATCCATCGCTAGTAGTGTATAATGTATGCATTAAAATACTGTTAATCCATAGAGTGATGTGATCCTCATCTATAAAACTGTTGTCTCTTGTTTCCAGTTTATATATATTTTTTTTAAATGCAAGTACTTTCGAATAATCCTTTATTCATCGTCAGGCATATTTTTCCTTATAAAATCAAAAACTTGGAAACGAAATAATTATTTGTAGACCGAAAGATGTTTTTTTGAGAATCTGCTATTATTGACGGTTGTGTACAATCTCGGAACGTGCAAAGACGCAACGCTAAGTTTTTCAAAATTTTAAGTGAGAATTTTATTTGAACTTTTCTTGTGATGTGGTAAATCCACGTATTCTATTTTTACAAGCGTTTTCAGTTATGTCATGAACTAAGTATATAGTTCAATTAATATAGTGTTATGTCTTAGAAGTAGTTTTTTTATAGGAATTTTTTTTGTACTGCGGATCGATAGTTTTTATAAACATAAAATATTAGGCAGCATATAATTTATATACAAAGAAATAATCACGATGGATGTCGCCAATAATAGCATTAATATTGCTGATTGATTCTATGCGTGATTATTTCTTTGTATATAAATTATATGCTGCCTAATGTTGTATATATATATATATATATATATATATATATATATATATATATATATATATATATAAATGATTGGACATATTTTAAATGCAAGTATCTTGATTGACTGATTCGTTTGTTTATGGGTCATTTGAAGTCGAAATTTCATATTCTTGTGTGCTTTGAAGTAATAATAATATGATATATGTTATTCTGCTTTCACAATTGAATACATGGTAGATGATGCTCAACTTTTGGGTGCATACATGTTTGTGCGGATATAATTACTAGAAGCGTTGATATATTTTATGTTGTGTTTTTGTTGAAGTTAAATTTTAGAATACAGTTTGATTTCTTTAATAAATTGTCGGATATTATATGGATTAATATCATGAAAGTTCTTTTATGTTAATTGTTTGGTAGTATTTTAAACGGATTAAATGGTTGAAGTCGTTACAATTCGCATGTGTTGGTAATTTATGTAGAAATCTATCGCTGATATTTTTACTATAAAAATGTATTTTTATACATTCATAGTGTTTTGTTTTTGTTCGGGGGTTCCTTTGCCCCTAGCTAGGACCCTAAAAAGTGCTATCACCCAGGGTCAGAGTGAACCGCAAACAACAGCAATTAAAAGGTGGTTCCACGCTCCTCAAAACCTCCTGAGGACTTGCTGCTAGATGTAGTTTATCGTCGCATTATAAAAAATGTTATTTTTATCCGAGCGCTTTCGGCTATACATTTAGCCATTTTCAAGGATTGTCTCGTGCCTTTCGTCTGACTGAAACTTTAAAACGGATATATTCCGTATTAGTTTTTCGACAGTTATATTTTATTTTTAGCATTCACAGTTTTTTATTTCTGACACAAAGTCAGTCCACACCTGGGGTTGATGAGACAGATGACCGGTGTTTTCGTCTGCCGAACTACGCTATTCCCCATATGAGGTGATTTTAGATTTTGTTTATTATTTGGTCTGTAATAATAAATACATTAAGCTCTTTTTGTGGATCAGTTTTAATATTTTATATTACTAGGATCTACTTGGATTATATATCAACGTGTTTGTTACCTTTACCACACACACACACACATATATATATATATATATATATATATTTGAAAACTAAAAAATTATAATGAGAAGACGGAGACTTTAATTGTTTCGTTTATAATTTTTATGTCGTGAACACTGAGATGTTCAACTCATCAGAACGAAACCTCCTCTGAAAAACATCTCTGTGTTCACGACATAAAAATTATAAACGAAATAGATAATTAAAGTCTCTATCTTCTTATTATCAATTTAATACTCTGTAGTCTACATTGAGCTCTCCCTGGATTTATCTCCTCCTCGGAATTATCCTTTCCAGTCACAAACTGGTAAAACATTTAATTATATATGGACCCATGCCCGACTGATTAGAACGTTGAGTCATAAGTAATTTTCGTTTATGGGAACGAAAGGTAATGATGGATATATCCTACTAATCGCTACAAATTACACGTAGAAGTTAATAAATAAATTTGGATTAAACTAACATACCTTAATTTTTGTATCGTAGCGTACACAGTGGATTAAATGAAAACTGTTGCCTACTGCCATGACAACACTAAATAAATATTGGACCACGACTTGTCTGTTCTATTTCCCTCTAAATATATTCAACTGACCTTGTATTTTGGATGGCTGTGAAACGCTTTTATAAGGAAAATTTCTAGGGAAAATTTTCTTTGAAGAAAACCAACTCCAAAAGTTAATCGAAATGTTTTATTACGTCAAAACCTGTGGAATGTTACTAAAAAAACTATCGACGAGTTGCCCGATAAGCGACAACAAGTAATTGCAAATTGAATGCAAATCACTGACACTTTTTACTGATGTTCACCCAATACAAAGCCCTACGGCCATTCAAGGTAGAGCTTTTCTGTGGAGTTGTACAAGTGTAAGAAAGGAGCAAGATAACAGGAAAGATAGCAAATTCTAGGCTCAAAGAAGTCAGGATTTAATTAGCGAAGAAATTTCAGAGACGTTACGAGTATAGAGTTGAATTAGCATTTAAAAGGAACCGGAAACCCAATCCTAAACAGGAAACAACAGATGAACCTCTACTACTGTTCAAATGGCCTGGGAAGAGTGTGGATCGGACAAGAGGCAAACCCATCTACTCCTATCGGAAAAAGAAAACA